GCAGATCATGTTTATTTTTCACGGAGATCGGCCGCGGATTCCTCTTTCGTCGGCATTCTAGGAATTGAAACTAGAAATCGAAACTAGGAATCGAAATAAAAAACTCTCAGCGATTCCAGGAAAAACTAATAGGAACCGGTTCCAATTAATGCTCGATGCCCAACCCTACACAGGAGTCCCACAGGGCTCTGTACTAGGACCTCTTCTCTTTGCCACATACACTACCTCACTGGGTGAGATCATTCGATTGCATGGCTTCTCCTATCAGTGCTATGCTGACGACACCCAGCTCTATCTGTCATTCCCGCCGGATGACCTCAGTCTCTGCACGAATCTCAGACTGTCTCTCTGACATATCAAGATGGATGAAATCCCAACATCTCCAACTCAACCTCTCTAAAACAGAATTACTTGTCATCCCAGCAAAACCATCCATACGGCACAATATCTTAATCCAAATCTCTGTCCAGTATCTCTGGCTCCTTCAAAGGCCGTTAAAATTCTGGGTGTTGTGATAGATGAACACCTGACCTTTAAAGATCATGTTGCCTCTGTTGCTCGTTCATGCCGCTTTGCGCTGTATAACATACGAAAGATCAGACCATACCTAAAGCTGGGCGGACACTGTGCGACTTTTTCACTCGCAGCGTTCAGCTTCAACTCAAACTGTACGACTTCCTCGCAGAGCAGATCTCGCGAGTCATGTTCTCACACTGTACGACCCAGTTCTCGCATGCGACCTGACTGCTCACACTGTACGTCTGGTAGCAACACGTCGGCCCTAAAAATATGCTAAAAATAGCAGTTTTTACTCAACACGTCAGACTTTTTTGTCTTGTCTTGCCTGTCCTTCGGGAGTGCTGCAGGAGGACACAGGGATTTATGGAGGTTGGATGAGGAAAACGAAATAAAGAAAGTAAATCTGTGTTTTGTGATCAGTTTCATTTGACATGAACACGACAAACACGCTTTCTTGACAATCTTTGCGAGTAAAAAAACGTGTAGAAACAAAAACGAACAGCGTGTGTTATTAGGGAAATAGCGAGCAGCGTTGATGCAGGATTGCGCATGCGCTGTGAACGGTTCTGATACTTTTTGGGTCGCAGCTGCTCGCAGCGCCGCTTCAACAGTGCGATACCCTCACGAGGGACGAGCAAAATATTAACACGCCAGAAGTCTGTGCGACCTCACGACTGCTGATCGGCAGCTGGTCACGTGGTGTTAATCGCCTCTCGTAACCCCCTGTACACTACACAACCGCTCGGCGCAAAACTCGCCCCGATCTTGTGGATTCTCGCACGACTGGTAAATCGGCTCAAAAAAGTGAATTAGTCGCACAGTGTACGCCCAGCTTAACACAACATGCCACCCAGCTCCTGGTGCAATCTGCTGTCATCTCCCGCCTCAATTACTGCAATGCCCTTCTAACTGGTCGTCCAGGCTGTACTGTGAGACTCCTTCAAATGGTCCAGAATACGTGCCTGAATTTCAATCAGCTAAAAGAGCACACGTCACCCCTCTGTTCACTGAGCTCCATTGGCTACCGCTAGCAGCATGCATCAAATTCAAATCGCTAGCACTAGCAAACAAAGTCCTGAATGGTACACCATCTACCTGAATCCTCTTGCAAAGGCTTATGCCACGGCCCGGCTGCTCCAGTTTTCGAAGGATCGTCGGCTAGCAGTGCCTACACACTGCTCAGGACAATTCAGACTCGTTATGTATCGTACCACAGATGTGAAAAGACCTACCAAGCCCTACCAGAACAGGGGCTTCCGCATCGATTTTCAAGAAACTCCTGAAGACCCTGCTCTTCAGAGAGCATTTTCTAAACTAGCACCCTCCCTGCACCTGTCTCCCACTCTACTGCACATTCCATATTCTATGACTGATTATGCTGCCTCACTGCCACCTAGGATGGACTAAATAGTGTTTGTTGTTAGCCTCAAGGACAACCTGATGGCCTGATTATCACCTGTACGTCACGTTGGACAAAAGCATCTGTTAATTACGTAAACATAATCTTGTCAGATATTCTTGCCATGTGTGGTGAGTTACAAGTGCTCTAGGCTTCTCTGAAGGCGAGGAGCTGGAAGCATGCTGCACAGAGCATGAGCGAACCCCCTCGTCCACCTTGTTTGTTTACTTTGAAGTCACGTTTGATCACAAGAGGTTTTGCAAGATTTCCTGTGTAATTTAGTAATGTTTGACTACTGTTTGGTCAGAGACCAAATACACTAGGATCCATGATTTTATTTTTACTCCCCCGTGTGTGAGGTCTCATGTTTAGAAATTTCTCGGACATTTTTTGAATCCTGCTGTGTGAACCGGGCCTTAGAGAAATCCAAGTGAACTTCCTTTTGATCAGATATGAAAAAGCGGCACGCCTGCTACGCACATTTGGCTGTTGCAAAGTCTGACCCGAGGAGCCGAGTCGGGCTACCTACTACAAATAGAACCCAATCTTGACATACGTTCAATATCTTCTAATAATAAAAATCAAATGGTACAACGACTCTGTCAGTCCATCTCCATCCAACCATCACTCGTGGACAAAACGCCAAGATACTTCAGGCAGAAACTTATTCCACCTTTATTCAGGTGTTAAAGCAGAAAAAACGATCCCAGACGTGCTGGATACCGGCCCTCGTGAACCAAGATTGCCCACCCATGGGGCCTCATTTAGCAAAACGATCGTACGAGTGTTCCTATATTCCTTCCTACGATTGAAATTTAGGAGTTGTGTACTCCTGATTTATGAAATGTGCGGCAGCCTCTAGTACGCACATTCCTCTGCAGTCGTCTGATGATAAATCCCACCTGTGCGGACCCAGGTGCTCGTGTCCGTTCACCGTCATTTACATACAGAAATGCCCTCAATTAACCATATTTGGTCACGCTACGTCCTCAGCATGTGGGGGAATTCCCAGTTTTACTTTCCAGAAAAAATAAGAAAAACTTTATTTACAGCGAGACCGAGACACTGGCTGCCGGAGCGCAAAAAACCCAAACAAGATGCCGAGGTTATAAACGCGGTCGGGACAGAGGAGAGGTTCCTGTCAGAAATAAATAAAACATGATTTTGATAAATGGTAGAGAAACGGGTTCTCATTTACATTTAAGGAGCCGTGTATGACTGGGTGGTTCTGGGGGGTTCTCGTAAAATAAAACATGAACTGGAACCGGATTCACGAGGTTTGTCTGTCACGCCACAAAGGGTCCCAAATCACAGCATAGCAGAAGAAGAAGAAAATATCATTTCTATAGCGCCTCTCAAGATAAAAATCACGAGGCGCTTCACAAAAAAAAAAAAAAAAAAAAGTAAAAATATAAAAGGATTTCTTCCTCATGGAGAACGCGTTCCCTCTAGTGTGCACGCTCGGTTAAATCTTCAAATAACACAGATTAGTCATGATATGGGGCGACGGTGGCACAGGAGTTAAGTGCTCGCCCCGTAATCGGAAGGTTGCAGGTTTGAGCCCCGCTCAGTCTGTCGCTGTCGTTGTGTCCTTGGGCAAGACACTTAACCCACGTTGCCTGCTGGTGGTGGTCAGAGGGACCGGTGGAGCCAGTGCTCGGTAGCCTCGCCTCTGTCAGTGCGGCAGAGCAGCTGTGGCTACATCGTAGCTCATCCTCACCAGCGTGTGAATGTGTGTGTGAATGGGTGAGTGACTGATTGTGTTGTAAAGCGCCTTGGGGGGTCCCAGGACTCTAGAAGGCGCTACATCAAATACAGGCCATTTTTTTACCATATGTCAAATTCCCGTCGGCCACACGTGTCTTTTATTGGTTTTAGCACCAATAATAAACAAAAGCTGTTTTTCCGCCGACATAACTGCACTGGGTAAATATAATTTGTGGATGAGGAACACGCGTGGATCACTGAGACCTTCAGTACTGCGGTTACCCCGTTCTACCGCGTGCTCGGAGCTGTTCTGATATTTAGGAACATGTTCACACACAAGTACAAATTGATAAATACCACACAAATGCGTAAATTTGTGCCTACGCACGAAATATGCACAGGTCTGTTGATAAGTATGATTGATAAATGAGGCCCCAGGTTTAGCTCGGACACAGGGGGAGGAATGAGGGTGTGATTGGGTGTCCTGGTTGGTCTCATTAGGATCT